TGTTGTTTTTTTGTCTCAACAAATATAATTAATTGTATTTTTGTTACATCAGATAGCTTTTAAGGAAGTAGCAAGAAAATACGGTTTTAATATAATCCCTGTAAAAATGGTTATAAGCCCCTTAAAATGTTATGCCCGGACAGTGTTAACAGAAACCGATATTATTTCTTAATTAAGAAGTGAATATTCTTACACATGACGATATAGAAACTGTTATCTTGAACAGTCGTATATAATCTAAAAAAAAGGAAAACAACAAATTATTAACTGTAACAATTATTTACTTCAAAGATTAATAAAGTGATTTATCACAAAAGTTTAATAAAGTGATTTATCATATACCCTTGCCGATTTTGAGACTCCGTAAAAATGGTATTGCGCGACCGTGTATATAATATTATTTTGACTTGAAGTCGCGTCAATGAAAAAATGACTCTTTTTCACTTAAAATGGTCTTTTCTTTTGGTATGTGATAAATAGAATATTAAATTGGTGTAAGTTAAATACGAATCTATTGAACTCGTTGAATAAAATAATATTATGCTCGCCTGAGGCTCGCAAAAAGTAATTTTATTCAACTCGTTCTATAATTTCAGTATTGAACTTACACTCATTTAATATCCTCTTTATATATTTATATGAATTTTAATACCACAACCTACAGCAAATATAATACTAGGAAAATTTGATTATTTGACAGAGCGATAGACCTACTTGATTACATTTGCTTTGATGTAGCTGTGCACCTGTAGTTTGTAACAACATTTAAGAGAAAGTTTATATATGTATATAATTATTGTTTGTTGTTTTTGTCAAATTCTGATCTAAAGTGACTTGAAACAAGCATAGGAAAATATCATCTTGTTTTAAAAATGCCTGTGCATTGTATAATCAAGCATGCGACACCATTTGTCTTTGAGCGTTTTTCTAGGTACCTGAAATTAGTCACAATTATCATATAATTGTAGTATTGATTTGTGATTAAGTGACTCAAATTACTTTAGTGTATTAGCACAATGGTTGCCAAGTCTGAAACCCCATAGCCTAAGTATAAAAAGTTGAAGGACAGCCTCGTCGAAATAAAAGACATGCATGTACCATTTGATTAGACGCGAGGACCCATATTCGGTTGAGGAAAAGGACAGGAGTTCAACTTGCAGAACTAAGTTGTTCAGGAGTCAATGTTAAACAATTATAATTTACCGGGTTATGCTCTTATCATAGAAACCAAAGTTCTTTATCTAAGCATCTTCAGTGGATGTTTTGATTCTGTTTTGGTATTACCTGGCCAATAATATGCGTCCTTTATAATTCATTTTTAAACTGCAAAACTATTATAATTTATATACAAGTCTTAAAAAATAAGCTTGTCACTTTCTCAACCTTTTATTATCCAAGATAACGGATTTCCCAAGTTACTAATAGAACACAGATTTAGCAACAAGTGTCGTTTCCAAAGGGATGACTACATAAATGTATTTTTTTCAGATTCCATATTTCTTTTAGGTTTTAACGTGTCATTTACAGGTTTGCAGAAAAGTTATTTAATTACAAAAAAAACGGAACGACTTTTTATGTAAATATCATTATCTTTTGTCAATTACAATTATGTTGAGTGTACATATATGATACTATTCGTACAAAGAAAGGATTAGCCCCTTCAACAAATATTCATCCGGACAACCATATGCCATGTGCGTCTCTTCATTATCAATTCTAATTCTGAGCATTAATTACTATATAATTTGTAACGCATGTTACAAATTAGATGAAAAATATACTCTTGTTGTGTTATTTCTAGGCACAAATTCAAATCAACTATGATATTTGTTAATTGTTTTAGACTTTTTTATGCCTCTCAACTTTCAATTGCAGATCGTCATATAAATCCGTTGATATATGGTCTGATATGGAGTATACTGTTTACAGTAACAGTTACAGCCGAGAAGAAGTATGTATTTTAAATATTCAAAATCATTTGAACATGATTGTTTATTGTTTAATCTCATAACACTTATATCTTTCTCTGTCATAGCAATTTTGGCAGAGCTATACCATGTCCTGTTTTGGGGATGCTTTCATTGAATGCCACCCTTGTTGGTCTCATTTTTCATATTTATAATTTATATTAAGTGTGGACTAGATAATGACAATGAAAATGACAAAAAGTTTATTGATTCAAGCGCTCTACCGAAAAGCAACATATACATATCAAAACATTCATGAAACATTCATGGAATAAGGTACTTCAAGCAAAATTATGTTTAAACAACATCTTGTTATTATCTAGTGGTGCATCTTATCATCTTTAGTCATGTTCTAACACTTAATAATCTTTTTCTTTCTTAAAAGTCATTGAACACAAAACTTATCTATAATATTTTTAGCCTGACAACTCATTAGGATATCAAATTTAGGAAAATTTGGATAAACAAAATATTTGCTTTCTAAGTATTTTGATCTTAATGTTTCATAAGCTGTACAAACCATTACAAAATGATATTCTGTTCCTACTGAAACTTTACACAAATTATATATACACTCGGATCTCCCTTCTTGTCTGTATCTACCTCTTTCAAAATTCAATCTCCTTTTTTACTTTGATTTAATTTTTCAGGTCAGTTCTGCCTATATTAATCTCTCATTCTATCTACAAATAATTTTAGGAACAATTTCTTATCACCAACCTGTTTATTCCAAACATATCCAAAACCATTTGTATAAAGTAACTGTTTAATATTAGTAACCGAATGTTTCATTACATTCCTATCATATATAAATAACACATTATAACACTGTTTCACATATCGATCATTAGGGTAAGCGTAATATCTTAAACCAATATACTAAAATTCTTGAAGCAATAGTTATGTACAATGGTAAACGGCCACAATCACCTAAAACTGATGCGTTGTTTAACACACTTGTATCTTTAACAAGTACAATTATGAATCGTATATATATATGTTCAATTGGCCCCCGAAGTTCAGACCCATGGCATATTATTGGAACTATTTTTGTATCAATTATATCAAAATATACATGTGTTTTAAGCTGACCATATTTGTACAGATTTGATAAAATAGAAAGTTCATCAGCCATTTTAAATATTGACATGTTTTGTCTTGACATTGTTACACCAACATATGAAAATTGAGAATTTACCATCATAATACCATTTCTCTTTATTAGAAAGTCTACCTCCCTTTTTAATATATTTTGGTCTTTTCAATGTTCACCTCTAAGCCACTTTTATCACAAAAAAAATTAAGTTTATTAAGAAGTCTTTGTGAACCTACAACTGTTTCCTTTATAATGGCTAAATTATCTGCTAAAAGGAGAGACAGAATTTCTAAATTTTCTAACAACTGAACTCCTTTTATTTCACTATTTTTTTTCAAATTCATGACGTGTTCATTTATATAGATAATAAAAAGTGTTGGAGAAATCAACAGCCTTGATTAAGTCCATTGCCACAATTAAAATAGTTTGTCAAACCTTCTGAAGTTCGAACACAAGATTTAACTGAATGATAAATAGATTTTATTGCCCTATATAATTTTCTTTCAATCCCATTTTTACACATAACTTTCCAAAGCTTATCTCTTTTAACCATATCAAAAGCTTTTTTTAAATTAGTTATACCTACCTAATTGTACCATGATTTTTTGTAATTGTTTGCTTAAAATACATTTCAAAATAAAAAATTGTCAACGGTAAACTACCCTTCACTAAAACCTGCTTGTTCCTCATTTATAATTCCATAAACATTTACCAAAACGTTAAGTCTTTTAGAAAGAATTCCAGTGTTTATTTTTCCCAAAATTTTTGATAAAAATGTTCCTCTATAATTTTTGGGTTGTTTCTATCACCTTTCTTATAAATTGTTACAATTACGGACTTAGTCCATGATTTTGGAAAGAAACCTTCATTGTAAATTCTGTTAAATTAGCTATACAAAAAGGGTAATAACTAAAAATTTTAAAAACTCAGTATAAACTTACTGTTAACTAATATTTTTCGTTGAATCGGTTTAAAGATGCTTTTATTCAACACTTATTAAATCGTAGAATTAAATATCGTATATAGTATTTGTGTCATGTTATGTTACAAATATAGTCCATTTCTTAGCTTACAAAAGCTTTATTTTTCATTTGTACGAGGGACCAAACAGCAGCTTCGATCGCAAAATAATTTAGATTATCTTAGATACCTAAACAAGAGCTGGGTAATACGCCCGAATGTAAACTTGATTGAGTACTCAAAAATAATCTTTCAATTAGGGAGGAAACCCAATCGAGAAGCTTGTCTAAAAATATTTCATCTTGATTATCCGTTTGATACAATATGAAGTCCTGGGTGGGAACATTTTACCGTAGGTGCATGATTCATAACATTTTTATAGAGATCTTCTTAGCTATATGCCAAACATAGTGTCATAGTGATTATCCACATTAAGATAGGATGTGGTTTCCTATCCCTTAGTTTCAATAAACAAGTCACTCCCAGGGCAGGGCCAATTTTGATCGGAGGGTTATGATTGATATGGTTTATATAGAAATCTTGAAAATTGATGCAACATGCCAATTATCTTAGCTTTGGGCTTCGTTGTTTCACAAATAAGTCTTAAATATGTTTAAAGCCCAACGCGGCAAAATTGAAAATGTTGCAGGCTCGGTTTGACTGAGCCTGTTCATGGACGATACTGTCAAGTGCAAACTACCGTTCATGCCCTTAGCACTGGCTTAAGCAGAATTCAACATTTAACACGAACTGGTAAAATTTTGAATCTAAAAATATCCGTAGATGTGTTCATATGGCGGTTATTATACTTCAATGTAACACGTTAGTGCCATTCCATGAAGAGCGACGTATGGTCCCCAAATAAAAACTACCTGTGCCCTAAACGAGAAAACTCTGGGCCTTCCTAAAGAAAATGAAATATTGAAGTTGTGCTTCACAGATAACCTGCCAATAGACAAATTACAAAAGCAGGAAACATGTCTGAGGGGTGTAGGGTATTCACAGTATTCGAGTGAGGATTACTGGTATCACCGTTCTAGAAAGAGCTCATATTTAAAAACTAAAAATACTACAAACGTGCCAAACAGATTGGAAATATCATATCCCAGAATAATGTACTTGTTACGGCCTCCACACGGCACAAACAATGCTGATGTGGCAATACTATAGAGAGGGAAAAAAAGGAATCCTTAAAGCACGTCAAATTTTTAAGGCTCGGTTTTGCAGGCTCGGTTTTCATTGAGCCTGTTAATGGGTTAATGGACGGTACTGGAAAATTCAATCTATCATCAGCGTCAACTAGCACCGGATTAAGACTTAAATATCTTTTTCCTTATACTTAAATGTAAAAAAGTGACTCCTAGAACGGGCCATATATATATTAACCCAAGATAGAAAAAACGTGATTCTAAGGTCGCCCTCATTGTATGCATAAAAAATGTGATCCATGCCGAATTTCTAATGCAAAACTCTTCTGATTGTATGATTGTATAAAATTACAAAAAACTGCGAGGCGAGTCTAAATACACTTACCTACTCAAGGAATAGCATTAAACATAAATAAGCTAATACATTATTTTTTACAGCTACGGGTACATGCTAACACCTCTGTATATATTTCCGGGGTCTGAATATGTAGTCACTGTAGATCTTAACAACTTTCTGGAGATTGTAGGACAAGGACAATATGACGTTACCTCTACAATAAAAAGATACAATTCAGATTCTAGAACGTATGATGATATCGTGAGTAAGACAGAGGTCATCTCTAAAGGTAAGAAAAGAGTTGTTTGCAAATAACCGTTCTTTAAAATAGAAGAACATTCAGTCTTTACGAAGAATTTGCAGCAGCTGTAAATTCTGTTTGACATTGATAAGTAGACTTATCTTTGATATCTGTCTGTAACTCGATGTTGGGTGTCAGCTTCCCTCAAGAAGCTCTTCTCACATCACTGCATTATTTTCCTTTTTCAAGTAATAAGTAAAACCACTATTTTCTTGTTATGTTCCTGAATTGTATTTCAGATAAACCATCTTTTTTACACGATAGTTGTGCATTATATGATATGTAGATATAAATTTTTTTAGTACTTGAATCTGTTAAACGGATGCTCACGTCAGTATGATTTTTGTTATCAATGTTATTTTGTGACCAATACAATATTGACTGTGAAATCACTATATTGTTTTTTTGTTCTCAAGTTATGCGTGCTTATATTTGTTAATGGGTTTTATTAATTTGATTCTGGGGTCAATTTTGAGATGATACATTTTGTGGTATAAATACTCCCAAAGTCATGATTTAGGGTATGACCATTCTAATGCACTGCCTCCGCTTTGAAGAGTATTCAAACAGACTAGAACTACTGTTAACTATATTGAAACTGAAGGCCGTAAGTTCAACTCCCAGAAGGATCAACTTTTTTTTAATTTTTTTTTTATTTTTCTTTTAACATTATATGTGTATCTCTCATATCACTTTTGGCAAGAAAAAGTGCTTAATTCTGATTATTTATTTCAAATAGGTATTTATTGGCTAAATGATGCTAAATCTAGTTATAAATATGGTACCTGATATTAAAAACTAAGTGTAATAAAATCAAAACTAGACGGTAAAAGTATTTCATATTTTACAAGATCAACCAATACACTTCTTTAAAATTTTAGGGAAACTTTGAAAACACTCATTTGGTTAAATTTTAAGGATTTTTTTAATCCCTAAGTAGGAAAATGGTCAAACACGTGTTAAAAATGGGTGGGGTAGGGTAATATTTTTATACATATTTATAAAATTTTAGTAGAAACCATTATTTTGCTAATATGGATTGTTAACTGAATGGTACTTTTTGTTTCTTACCAAAACCTAATGGGAAAACGTTATTTTTTTTATCCAGGATGTTATTGCAGATTATGTAAAGGTTCCTCATTTCTGAAAAAGGGCCCTCATAACACCCTAGCTTCAGTACAGTGGCCATAACTCGATTTCTGTACGGTAAAGTTTGTTTAAATTTTGCATATAGGTGAAATTTAAGGTATATATTTTACCTATGATGTCAATTTTTAGTTCCTTATATTACCCGTTAGGGTGGTCATACCTTAAAACAACGTGAATTTTGACAAAATGACAAATATTTCTTATATTTAATACTAAGTATCATTAAACAATTTAAGAACTGTGCAAGAATATGTTTAAACCTTATTGCTTCTGTAGTCGGACTTCATTTAGTCACTTAAATGATTATCTCAATTTTCATTTTGTACTTTCAATTGTCAAAATATCTGTGACCAAATTGCATTTACAGATTGCTTATTTTCAAGGAAAAGAAATGCATGAGAGAGAACTAATTAAACTACAATTAATCTCCCCTTTCCTAACTTTAAGCTCACCACATTATGTCTCATGATTACACATATATTTAACAATGTATTTCCTTTCTTTCAGGTGACCCAATAAGAGATATAACACTTCAGGTAAGATTTTTTGAAACACGAAACAAAGTAAAAAAAAATCTTAATCAATTATGCAAACTCTATTCGGATTCTGTTTTTCTCTTTATGTGTATTTCTAGTAGTTTTGATATATAACGAGATACATATATACATGTATGTATAAGTTAAATAAAATTTTCTTCTTATTATTCTTCTTCTTCTTCTTCTTTTTCTTCTTCTTCTTTCATTATGTCCATTATGTCATGGAATTTGAGCTCACGTCCATTTCAACTAAATGTAGACGATGAATTCCTACGTTTCCCGTTTCATAAAATATCATAAAAGATACTCGTAGGAATTCTCTACAAATTTAATTTTTTAATACATTATTTTAAGTATTATTATTTTTTCTTCTTTTTAAACTGAATGTAAAATAAAATAATTTATAGATACCAGATGATATAGATACAACAAGTAACTATAGAGCAGAAATTAACGTGGCATCAAATGGTTTATTGTTAGCAGACGATATCGCTTACATCAATGTCTTCAGGGAAACAACAGATTCCATTTTGATACAAACTGACAAAGGTTTATACAAAGCTGGTCAAACAGGTACAAATTATGTGTACAATACATGTATTGTCCTTTGAACTTTCATCGGGTAAGAAATATGTTGCAAAATATTTTTTAATAATCACAATTACTTGTTGCTATCTGAAATTAAATAATGCTGAAAATTATGGTTGATCTCACCATTACAGGAATTTAAATGAATCATGGTGTTTTCATGCATGGGAGTTAAAACTATGGCTACAAGGGTTAAATGTCTAGTGTTTTACTTGATAAAAAAGATTGTTAATTCGCAATATCAATGACAGTTTTCATATTCTTTCTGAAATAATTTAATTTTGTGTTAAAAAAATCAGATGAATTTTGTTGTTAATATTTAATAATATAATTAACAATAATTCAACCAATAGTTTTTGGACTTAATTTCCTATTCATTTGTAAAATATACTTTATCCTTATCTAAATTAGTTAATATCATGTAAAATAAAAAGTTGTTTATGGGGTAAGCAAAATATAAGAAATCTGGCAGCATTTTTACGTTTATGTTGAAATGTCTTGATATGCATTTAAACCATGTTCCACGAAAATGTCAGGAGCAATGTAGAACAAACCACACGAAAAAACAATAACTTCGCACCCAGACTGCCATGCGGTTGATTTATGCAGATTATTAAAATATAGCATAAAAATTTCCCTGTTATCCAAATCACTTATAAAATATCAGACACTTATTGTTAATATATTCAGCAGGAAATAAACATTTGAATAATAAGACACTTTCCTTTAATTTTTCCAATTTTAAAAGATGGCTTCTATAAACAGAGATGCATTCAGGCCAATGGTTGCTAGACCTTAAATTTTAACTATAAGAATAATATTGCTGACAAGCAACAAAAATAAATTCAAAGATTTTTAAGTGGCCATATCAAATGCGTATCGATAACATACATATTCTTAGCTACTTGGCTTCAACCAACTGCATTTGGCGATTTTTTTAAACACCTTTGTCCTTTTCAATTCCAAAACTTGTTGAATAAAATTTGAATGAATTTTCAATTTGGTAATTTTTTATTTGAACACTTAATTTATTCTAATTGATAGGCTTACAGGCTGCTTGGTCATACGTCATGACTATTTTAACAGGAACGTATTATATAAATGTATGTATTTTTGTTGATGAGAAACACGATTGAAGAAATGAACTGCTCAGTAAACAAATGTCAAGGTTAATTGTAATTTGTTAATGACTGGATTGTACTTAAAAGAAAAAAACTAATCATTATTCGTGTTTTTTTTATACATATATGACGGTTGATGAAAATCGTGATAAACCCATTTTTACATTTACATTCCTTATAAATCTATTCAGGGTAGTGTTGTTTTTCAATCTGTTTTAAAATCTGCTTCCTACCCTTCATTGTTTTGATAAATTGTGCTTTTTTAATATTGAACGATAAATTCGATCAAAATATATATTTCTAGTTCAATTTAGAGTTATGACTGTAAATCACGAAAGACAAGTGGAGGTAAACACGATGACGATTGATATTTTTGTAAGTATGATAAAGTATGTATTTACACATTCACATTTAGGTTAATCAAAATCTATAATTTTTTGACTACTGTTATTGTTAAGTGCCTTGCTTTACACCTTGTAGGTAGTCCTTGGTTGCTGCTAATTATGGGGAATGCGTTCATTGAATGTTTCATTGCCCTGTTGTCTCTTTACTAGTGAGTTATAAACACATTTATTTTTTACAATAAAATATTTTTAATGACATTTTGTGTCAACGAAAAGACAATGTTTGGTTTAATCAACCAAACCTACACTATTCTGATAATCTAAATACATTTTTGTACTTTTTTAATCGTTCCTCAAAGGATGGAGACGGTAATCGCGTTCGAAGGTGGGCTAATGTATCTGACAATAGTGGTGTATTTGTGGGTAAAATGGAAATGTCACAGTACCCGGTACTTGGAACTTGGTCAATCAAGGTTACAGCGACAGTATGTTTCATTTAATTATGATTATTTTAATGTTACATTGCTTGTAACGTAAATAAATATGTAAGAAGAAGTCAGACGTTGCTAAGGGGACCTTACGCTGCTTTAATGGCATGACAAAACCTGTCTTGTTGAATGTTAATAGCATTACGTATGAGAAAATCTGCTGATGTTTTTAAGTATATGATGTTTAAATGCTGAATACTGCTTGAACCATTGATAGGGTTCGTGGACAGAAACATTCACGTTCTTTTTTCCATAAACATACTTAATCAAACGATTACAGCAACTTTCTTTCAATTTTTACCGTTATATAGGCGTTCTTTAAAGCTCTGCAATATAAATGAAATGAAAATGTCTTTAACACCTGTCATTAATTCAATTTTTGTAGCGAGTCGATCTAATTAAATAAAGAAGATTATTTATTTGTTAAGATATTGTCCAACAACATTGACCTGGCACTCTTGCATTTGACCCTGTAGTCGGTATATTCCGTAAACGTTACGATCTACTTATAAATTGATATGAATGTAAATATCCAATTCTTAAAATCGTGTATATTAAAATTCCCTCTTAGCGCAGTTGGTAAAGGGCTTTCACTTGAAGAATGTTGACTTAAACTGGTAGGTTCGATACTTATGTTAGCAATTTTTTTTTTATTTTATTTTAATTTTAAAATTGCCATTCCCTTAAAACTATTGCAAACCTTTTCGATTTACCATCTGTTAAGTACTATTAAATAACTGTCTTTATAGCGTGTATTCGCTAAAGCATGTACGATTGCACAATGCCACAAAGAGAACCGTTGAAAGATATTATTAAAATGAAATAAAAAAAATAATTGTGACATGTGTATAAAAACATGACTTAAAATGTTTCCTAAAACCAGCTGTAGAAAACGATTTCAAATTAATTCTTGCAAATAAATTAAAAAAAAAACATAACGTGGTGTTGAGAAGGAATCGAACCATAGACCTTCAGATCGGTAGTCCGTCATCTTTACCAATACACCACACCTTACTAACGAAAAAAGTTAGCTAAAATATCGATATATAAGATAGATACTGGTCAGTGTTTATTCACATGACCTTTACGAAAGTTAATGAAGTGCCAGGTCAATGTTGTTGGACAAATATCATCAAATAACATATAGTAACAATAATATTTTCATTGTTACTAGGGAAATGAGGCGAAGCAAAGCTTTCAAGTTAAGGAATTTGGTAAGTACACACTTAAACTGAGGTCGACACCTTGTATTTTCTAAGATTATGCTATGTTGGTTGTATAATTGTGCTGAGTATTTCTTCATGTGCGTGCGTGTGCGCGTGTTTTTTTTTTTTGTTGTTGTTTTTTTGTTTTTTCTTTGTTGTTGTATTTAATTTTTTTCTTACTGGAACGTTGTTGAAAAACAACGAAACATTATATAAACTGATTTCTTTTTACTTTTTTCAGAATTGCCAAAGTTCGACGTCACACTTAACCTTCCAGATGTTGTTTCTGACAGTGATATATATTTAGAGGGGACAGTGACCTCATTGTAAATGATAAATAATAATTATATTTATACTTTTATACTTTTTATTAAGCGTCATTTATGTAAGCTATTTATTTTAATTTGTAGTTAATTGAATCAATACATCAAAAATGTCTAATTTGGGTTTTCATTATATTAAATTTCATTTTTACTCCAAAGGATTGTTATGGCTAAGTGCTTAATGTACCGAAGCTTTTTGGATAGTTCTGGTCAGTATTTATACCCAAGTTACAAGCTCTAATGGGCATATTGGGTATTCCTTCAACCAATAAAGTCAGAAAGTCCCCGGTAGAAAATTAAATGAATTATAAACAAACTTAAAATTATTCAATTGAATAGACTTGTCTTAGATTTCTTTTCATGAACATTCCTTTTATTTCTTCATATACTTACAGTATGTGGTAATTGTTTTAGAGCATGTAAGATGCTTATCACCTAACGAAGGTAGCAGTAAATGTTAAACTGTTTGTCATAAAAGAATCAAAATGTAAACAAAGTAGTATGTTCACATCCCAACAAAATTCTAAATCACTGTAACCATACTTATCGTCAAAAAGCAACAGTAAATAAAGATGGTTAGTGTAACTTGGTAATGAATAAGGTTTTGAAAAATATAAGCGAACATAAAAAAATAACAAGCTTTATCGGAACAAAAATAAAAGGATTTTGAAACAAGACATAATAGCCCTTTAATATCAATAACCAAACAAAAAATGATCAAGTTCTGCTCTTTACAATAAAAAAAAGGTGTCATTCTATTACATACATATACCATTTTATAATTGTATTTGGTTTTATTATTGTTAATGATATAAAATACTTTTGAATTTGAATAATAATTATAATTATTTAAATCTCGTTCTTACTCGGGAGCAAATTGTTATTAATATTAGGCGGATATTTTATGGGGCAAATCTCATCAGTGTAGCAAATAATTTTTCTTCAATTCAAATTTTAGGTACACGTTTGGAAAAGGTGTAACTGGTTCTGTTGATTTGTTATTAACGTCAGAAACAAGTGGAAAATTTAGTAAAATGTACAAGGTGGGTTATCATTTTTAAACGCTATAATTTATGTTTTAAAAGTCACTTTCGCTATTTTTCGTCAAAAAAGCACTTTCGAATTTTAGTCATAACGCTTAGCGGAAGGCGAGAACGCGCCGGAACGAAATTAATATTGCTTCGTTCTTTCGTGTTACCGCACATGTGGAACGCACAGGCGACAGAACGAGATAACGCAAAATATAGGAATATGGGGCGACAATACGATATTTTTATCTTCGTGTTGTCGCATTAAAATCTCGTACAGAAGCTTTCATACTTTCGTTTTATCGCGATGTCGCGTTTCAAGGGCGTCGACACGAAGTAACGGCAAAACGATAAAAACAGTGCGACAAAACGAGAATTTATATTTTGTGTCGTTATTTCGTTCTTTCGTGTGGTAGACACTTCAACCGCGAGGGAACAAAGTAGCGTCAAGGCAGAAATCAGCCACCATAGGGTTATGTTAAAAATCTTCATATTTTATTATTTTAATATTATTATATTTATAAAACAATAGCGGAAATGACGTAGCGGTAACATATTTTTAATTGAGGTAAGAATAATTACAATGACATTGGCGATAACTTATTTAGAACATTCTTAATGATTATATGTCTTACTGCTATTGAAATAGAAATGATGTTAGTATTTAAATGTCATAAAATAATAAAGAACACGTGGCTTCTTATTATGTTTTCATAAGTTTTGGTATGTGCATTTGAGCAGCGTCACGACAAAACCAACATAATGGGTTTGCGACCAGCATGGATCCAGACCAGCCTGCGCATCCGCGCAGTCTGATCAGGATCCATGCTGTTCGCTATCAGTGTCTCTACTTGTTATAGGGTTTGTAAGCGAACAGCATGGATCCTGATCAGACTGCACGGATGCGCACGCTGGTCTGGATCCATGCTGGTCGCAAACCCATTATGTTAGTTTTGTCGTGACGCGGCTCATTTGTCGTTTTGTATGTTTGTCTATATTTGTATCTATTTTCAAACAAGCTCACTGATGGCGAAGCTAAGATAAAACTCGAAATTACTGACATCTATTATGCGTTTGATTTGTCGCCTGGATCACCGACATCTTCCTCTACATCTTTCTCATCGTGGTGGTCTACAACATCTGTCCCTGCATCACGAAGACAATCTTTAACAATTAAAAACAAGTAACTGAATGATTTCTTCCAATAAGAATTGTCAGATTTGCAAACGTAACTTTTTTAATAGTAGATTTTTTTTACATTATTCTTATCCATCACTGTAAATGGGTCAACTAAAATGAGAATAAATTTTACTTTAAATCTAGAACAGTTGAAACAGTTATATATAGAAAAGTAATAAAAATAGTATATTGTTTTTTATGCTTGCTATCTTTTCATATAGCAATATTGCCTTAACTTCACATTTGGTATTAATAATACAATTTTTACAGAAAGAGAACTGCAACAGCAACGGCGACAGTGATAGAGGATATAACAGGTAATACTAGAGAGGTTTCTATGAGAATCATTTTTGTCGAGCATAATGTTGGCTTCAAATTAGACAAGTCAAAGGGACTCTACTTTAAGCCAGGACAATCAGTGGATATTGCAGTAAGAATCAGTTTTTGAAGTATTAAGGTAATATTAATCGACATGTATCATCTATATATTATATGACTAAGTATATGAATGTATATCAATTTAGCATTTTACGGATGTCTTCTTTCGATGGCTTCAGAATGTATTTACGAATTCAAACAAACCCAGCTAATCGCCGTTTTTCAGTACTTTTCTTACATCTCATATCAAAAGCTCTGAAGAATTTGCCATATCGTTTACGTACGATTTTGATATTTTTAAACTAATATAAAATAAAAACATTTAAAAAGAAATGATGAAATATCATCGTACAAATAATTCCACGCCATAAATCATCATTCAAATTTTTCTTTGTAAAATTTAGAGAAGAAAGTTAAGGATCATTAATCCTTTTTCTTGCATATCAAGTGATTCTACCTGAAACGGTTTAATTAATAAATTGATAAATAAAGTAAAACAAATAACAATAGAAACAAAAACAAGAAATCGCGTTGAACACCAGTGTTCCGCATTAGGTGCAATTCCCTAGAGCTAAATCCGTAAAGAACTGGAAACGGCCAAGCAAAATTGAAAAATTTAACCGATCGTTGGCTTAATACTACAAACCCGTATGTCATTTTTTGTCATTTTTAGAAAATCGCATTTGAAAGTTTGAACTGTAATAACTTTTTAATGATAAACCGTATAAAGCTAAAATTTTCAGTGAGTTTTGGAATCTGTATGTTATACATATATACCAAATTTTATTTATGTGCATACATTTTTAAAGTTAAAATCTCAAATAATTTATTTCAATTTTTCATAATAATTAAGAAAACACATACATATTCTGAATTCTAAAACCCCATTCGAGAGATACTGGGTTGTTGGCGAAACATTCAGGTCATTTCTACACCATTAAAGCGACATACGGGGTTCTAAGTGAAACATTTGAAGCAAAATTGACTAAGTGTAATAATTTTCGGCTAGAAACATAGCAACAATTCAAGTAAAAATATCATTCACCTCTCCTACTGTGTAAAATATTACACGTCTGTTTGAAAATCAATGCTATACTATCAAATGATATCTACATCAATTTTTCAAAAGTATGCACTTGTTATGTTACATGTTTATCAACCGTGGGTATCCGACGATGCATTTCTGTCACATACCTATGTTGCTATAATATTTCAATTTTTGATATAGAGTGTACATCAAGAAGATGCTTTTCGTGCTTTAGAAAACAGCGTTGAATCTGAAACAAATTGTCCTGATAGCATCTAGATGTAAACAAAGTGGTATTTTGTCTTCCATTCAAGAATATCTTATAACTATAACTTCATGGATGATGAAAATGCAAATGGAAAAAAGGGTTCAGCTATATAGCCAATGAGTACCCCTTCAAAAAGTGTAAAAACTTGAAAATAAGAAGCTCCCGGGAAACAAAAAAAATATAGTACTCATCGAGGCTGTCCGAAATGGTAATCATCCGAATAAATGAAGTATTTACATATTTATCTATTCAAGACATTTACTATATAAATTCAAAATGATCCTAGAGCTATAAAAACTAAATTATCAATATATGTATATTACTGTAAGGTAATATGCTGTAATCATCTTTAAATAAATCACTAAAGGTTTTTCAAAATATTTGGTTGTGATAAAGTAGGCAGCCATTACAGATGTGTCATGTATCACGCGGTACAAAATCAGAATGTTTGATTGGACGAGAAGTTACTGGAGTCTAGAATTAAAAGTTTGATGTAAATAGCGAGTTACGGGTTTGTGGAATTGGAAATAAACATATTTATATAAGTTCTACAACTACATAAGTATGTTCACTGTCAAGAGCTCACTGAGACGAAAAAAAATGATATAAAAATCTCAATTTTGCCAAAAATCGAGTTACGGGGTTGTAGAATTAACCCGACGCGATGCTTATAATTTTTGAAATCTTTATTTACTTTCACTCCTAAATTTATCTTCAAATGGTTTTATTCAAATATTCTATTTAAAGGGAAAAATAACGAATTTTATTGGATCAACATTTGATGGATTAGCAGCTGAAAAATATTCGATAAAAATTGGTGTCTCATATAGAACAACCTCTAGGTATAACTACGTGAAATTGGTAGCAGAGAGAGATATGGATGTGGACAGCAAGAACCAGTTTTATTATCAAATTGACGAAAATCTTATTACTGATGAAATGTCTTCTATAAGAACGGAGGTTTGTGTGCCACTGAAGCCTTTTTTTCCAGAAATTAATCTTTTAATAAAAAATGAGGAAATAACTAATTATCGGACGATAATACATATGCATATATATACACCCACCCTTTCATTTAAATCAAGAATAAGACAAACGTAGACGGTTCGACTGTACGTTATTGAAAATATTATGAAGAATAAAAACCTTATTAGATGCACAATTTCATATTACGAAATATTCCGTCATGGAAGAAGAACTACTTTTAAGGATAAACAAATGAATAAAACGCATACACATTATATGCCTAATATGAATTCCAATGTGATCATAGTCGCAATTTTCGTTTAAGTAAAAATAATGAAACAGCCCTTTTCCCTATTAAAATAAAACCCAGTTAATTCGTTTTTCGTGGGGTTAAAAATAAACCTTCGGGTCTAATGCTGGGGCTTTTTATCGTGTACTTATCAACTTAATTGCCCTCTATGTATGCGGTATATTGTGAAGCGTGCTAGAATTAGTAATCTTTTGTGACGTAGAGCATATATTTCCAACTACAATTTATGACAGATATGACTTTTTACATAATCTTTCATAAACACAATTATTTCAGATACTTCTGTTTGCCAAAAGAGAACAAGTTCTGCTACAAAGGGAAACCGTAACTTTTACCAAAATTAAATCAATAAATGGATATTTAATGTCAATAGAACAACTTTCTGGATCTGCGTCTTTAGTAAGTATATAATATTGTCAAATGAAATGAAATCTCGCGCGCTAAAACTACATTTATTATTGGTACTTCATTGGTGATCGTTTGCAGCCGTGATTTAAATAAACACGACGTCGTGTTATTTTATTCGTTATAGCGGTGAAAGAAATTAAAATTCGGTTAATTTAAAAAATGCTTTTTCAGGTTAATAGCGTTTTTTCAACTTTTGGAATTGGTTATTTCAGATCCCGGTTGCTTAATATGGCCCCTATTGCCAAAAAGAGACCGGTGTTTTTTTTATATAATTTAAAAAATAATAACAAGGGGATTTAAAAGGGTGACAGGGTTTACCTTTCCACTGTAAAAAGGGTTAAATTTTTAAATTTTTTTTCGGGTTTTTATAAATTAAGTAAATATTATAAAACTCTTTATCGGTTTAAAGCAAATTTTCTTAAAATACAAAACGTCATTCCCTGATCAAGAACAATTTGGGACAATCAATTTGAGCCCGCAAAAATTTTAGTTTTTGGGGCCCTTTTGGACGTTTTTTTTTCCCTTTTTATTTGTTTTGTTTTGGGTTTTTTTCATTTAACGCCTTTTTTCCATACAGATTTTCAGTCATTATTGGCGGGTATTTCCTAAACCATTCCGTTTTCTGTAGGTTACACTTCCAGTAACTAGGACTTTACCATCTTCCTTCGCTAAAACTACCAATCTCCATTTTTAGATAATGTAAATGTTTAAATGTATCGAAGTATAATAAAAATAAATAAAAAAACATATGCGACCCCCACCCTCTCTTTTTGTTTTCATTCACCACGTGATGGTTAAATATGGTCAGGTAAAATGACGAGAGCGGGAGTTCAAAAATAAGATTGTAACTGGCTGGCTGGTAGCAACTCGCTGAATTATATATAGATGAGAGTATAGTACAAACTAACTGCCATTGAATCTTACAGATGTGTTTTTGAGTCATTGCATTTTCTTATTATTTTGCATGGAATGTTTGGAAAGCAAACTGTAAGAACAACTTTGCTAGACACTGCATATTTTTTAAGTTTTGTAGCATTTATAGTAAAGATACCGATCGCGGATACCTTTTCATTAATAGTATGAGATACAAAGAAGTTTCAAACAAGTGTTTTTATCATTCTACTGGTGTAATCAATTTGCTTGATTCTGATTTTGTGACAATAAATATTGTGTCATTTTATTTTAGAATATTGGAGATACGGCAAATTACAGAATTTCATTGATTGGAGAGGGAACTATAACGGCTTCATACAAGGTAAAATATTCGTCAAAGATATTAAAATAGTTTTATTATAAGAGTCGTTTACTTAGAACTTGTGGATTTGCTATGCCAGGGTCTCCCGATGAGCGATGGCAAAAGACTTTTATTCGCGATGAAAAGAAATACAAGTAAATTCAAGTTACTCTTAAAGTGATCATTATTATATAGCTCGTCGTATTTAAACTATAATTTTATTCAACCGTATCGTTATTACTGCAAAGTGATTCTGCATAATATCAGCATAAAATTCTAGTTTTCTTTCTTTCGGGTTGTTTATAGACTGTGATAAATGAAGTGTATTTTATAAAGATGTATACAAGTATGAAATTAAAGTTACGGTATATAAGAAGGTGAATTTGAAGGAAATGGATACAGACGTTTGATATACGATTTCACGACTGCTGTACATCAAAATGCATTTCTTTGAAAGTACTGTACTTCATCTTGGTAATGTTATACATGTCTAGTATTTCGAGAAAGTGAAAATATTGTAGGATGCTGTATAAGAATGTCTCGGGGCTGGATAAGGTAGTGCAGCTTCATGTCAATCAAAACATGTCCAAATGTCTGTTTTATTGTTCTAGTCAGAAACTTTTTTGTTTCATCATATTGCCGTATAAACACATCTTCGGATGTTTTCTAATTCTATAATGTTTGATTAAGCCGGGTCTAAGGGAAGTTTACTATAGCTTGCATTTACCTTTGCCGTCCATAAGTAGGCTCAATCAAATCCAAGCCTGCATCAATTTCAGTGAAGACGTTTTGGACCTTTTTAAGGTCTCTTCGCAATGATGTTTTATAAAATTACTTTAAAATTACTTTTAAAATTACCAGAATTATTTTGCTAGCATACTTTTTACAATATGTAAATTTTATACATTATATAGGTAACATCAAAAGGATTGGTTGTTAAAAGTGGACCACGATTTTCTCTGTCGGAGAACCAACCTTATGAATTTAGCTTGAGATGTACAGCAGAAATGGTTCCGTCTCTAGTTATTGTAGCATGGTCTGTTTTACCACTTGACCGTTTGACGTCAAGAACATATGATTATGCGGTAACAGCTTCAATAGGAACAAAAGTTAAACAACAACAGATACAGGTTATACAAATTATTGGCTAAATTTCATTAATGTTTATCTTGTTTATTACATTGAAGAAAGCTTTCGTATAACGTTCAAATAAATATCAAAATATGCAAAAAATATACGCCAATAACAATACGCAGTGTTAAACAATACGCAAATTGTTATAGAATAACACTCTTACTTATACTCGGTATAAAACATGTATAAACTAAGGACTTGTTTTTTAAAAAAAATCATTATATAGTATCAACGTCACAAAAATGCTAGTCTAACAGATTTGAAGAAAGTAAAACACTTCATTTTTTTATTTCACAATTGATTTGTATACATACGCCGCCATATTGTGATGCTGATACTTAATTTAATATGTACGCTGAAAATTAATATTGTTGGTCCAGTTTCCTAGGGTGCGTAAATTAAAGCATCACTATTATAGTTATGGTAAGTCTAATCGACAAGTACATTTCTTTTCTTGTCAATAAGTGCAAAACATGAACAATTAAATATTATACATTATTATAGCACACAATCGGCTATTTTTCCCCTCTTTTGCCCATGTTATAACGGGACCAAAACCATGTGTTAACATAGTCACGCGCTCTTGTTATAGCCCGGTTTTACCTATGCGCGACACATACAGGGCCCAGTAAACACACAAAAAATGACGGTTGGGCCTGTTCGCTAAAAAGTCATGCGCTCTTGTTATATTGAAATTATTGATTCGATGGCCTCAATCGCATAACAGCGAGCAGCATTCCAGTTACTATGCCGGAAATACGGCGTATAGACACCGCCGCTAATCTTGGTTGTCGCCCTTTCGGAGAAACGGATAGTTGTCAATGTTAACAAATATCTGTCATTCAGTTTAATCCTCCGATTAACTTACAAAATAAGATAACAAATAATGAATATGAGGAAATGTTATTTCATAGATGTTGATATTGATAAATGCTCTTTATATTTCTTTGAGAGAATAATTTAGAGTGGCAAGTCCCTGGCCTAAACAAGTTTTGTTTTCCAAAAAGTGCATTATGCTGGAAGAGCGTTTGAAATGATATTTCTTTTTAATTCTTCAACATAAAGTGAGAATCATAACAAAATTCGTTTCATATATTGGCAAATCGGCATTTCAGATGCCTTTGACTATTTAAACATACTAAATATGTTATGGTCAAGACAAATAGTTTGCATAAATATTACACAAATAACCATGCACTCATTTAATTTTTGAATAATAAATAATCACCAGATATCAAACATTAAGAAAATTTAACTCACAAAGAAAATAAAATCTTAGAAGCAGCATTATTTTCAAGCGTTAGATTTCTCAATTAATAAGCTTCCGTTATAAACTTAGCATTTTTTACAAATACTATTTCTACGATTTGAATACATAATATTATTGAACTTTTGGAATGAAGGCCAGGCATTATTTACCAAATGTTTATGTCATAAATCATAAAATATTTGTTACAGCATAATAAAAATGGTACTCAGATTGTGATTAATAAAGTTTATCCTTCAATGCCAGTTTATCTACCTACTTCCATTTAAAGATAATGTGCTCATATTCTAAATCTAGTGGAGAGCACTCTTTATTTACTATAAGTTAAGATGTCTTAATGTTTTTCATAACAGAAATCAGCCTTAAATTGTTTATAGTATTCACGTTCAGCTAAATTATGAATCCCCATTTTCCAGTTTTAAATATACTGATCTTGTAACCTTTTCTTATAAATACAAAAATATTTACAGAAATTGTCAAACCTTAACAATATATCACAAAAACCTAAACTATCAAGTGCACTTTAATTTTATTTGACCAAGAATTTGCGTTCTGAAAATTATATTGCTCTCTAAATATTCTAACCTGGCCTTGTTGTCTTTTTTGTTTTTTCAGTTTTCGACTTTTCTCTTTCTTAAAACTACCCAAAAGGAAAAAGGCCATAAAGCTAAAATTTTAACATTGTTTCGAATCCCCAAAACGATTTAAAAAACTTTTATATTAGTTTATCAATTTTCCCTTAAAATTCAAAATTGGGTTTTAGGCGTACAATAAAAAATAGAACCCTAGGTCAATACAAGATTCAATACCAAATAATGAAGAGACTTTTTATTTTTTTATCGGGAGCACCTGAACAACATTTCCGTTATAAATAAAGTTTACACCTAAATGACAAAAACTATTTACAGTTTCTAATTTCTTACTATTGATAAACCATTCAAAAGAATTAAATTGTTTTCTCTTTTCAAAAATACATACCTGACTTTTTTGGAGTTAGTCTTTAGGCCCCATTTGATCGAGTACTAGTATTGATAGATACAATCAAGTTGGACTTGCAAGGTGTCTGCATTTGTCATAAATAAAACAATTTATTACATGCTTTTCGGTGGTTTATAGATATATATCAGTGATATAAAACTGGTTATTTCACTGTTTGAAACAGTGAAATTACCACTTTGATAATTTCACTGTTTCAAACATTTAAGCCCCTTACGTTGTTTCAGTGAAATACCAGCGTGCACAGTACTGGGTACCAACTAAATGACGTGACGTCGTAAATGACGTCACGTTGTATTATTATTTGGCGCACTTGTCATTCAGTATTAGGTTAAATGTCTTTTTAAAACGTTTCTTTGCATATAATAAAAAGAAAATTTGTTTAGTTTAGTGTAAGATCGAAATATATTTCACCTTGTGAACACCAAAAGTTCATATTTCACTTGTGGCTTCGCCACTCGTGAAATATACATTTTGGTGCTCACTCGGTGAAATATATTCCGATCTTACACTGAACTAAACAAATATCCTCTATGTCATCCGCAAAAGTCAACATAAACATTGCTTACTGGTTGAAATCACCATCAGATAAATTTTTTTTAATCTAAACTTGACAAACAAAATAAATAGTAAAGGTGAAAGTGGTTAGCCTTGTTTGAAACCAATGCTGACAAAACTATGGTTTGTCATGCAGTTACATGCTTTTTAAATATACTTCGCTTAAGCTACACTGTATTATACAGAACAGAACATATATGTTTTATTTGACTTAAGCATTAGAAGCTTATCGTCGTTAAACAATGATAAGAAAACATACATATACTTGGTATGACATGGAAGAAAAATACATGTAATGGATGAAATAATATTTCCGTAACATATATTTCATGAGAATGTAACAAAGGAAAATAAAATATATATTAATGATATAAATATAATGATATATACATGTACACACAAGTTACATGGAAAAATCAAACAAATAAAAAATACAGATTGAGGAAGACATTTATATTATTACAATAGTGAATCCCTTAATTTGAAATATTTCCTTAACATATATTTCGTGAGAATGTAACAAAGGGACAACATAAATATAATTTTATAAATATATATACACACAAGTTACATGGAAAAAATAAACTATAACATACAGATTGAGGAAGCCTTTCATATTATTACAACAGTGAATCTCTTAATGTAAAAGCCTTGTAACAATGAAGAGCAAATTTTCTTAAAATTTTCTTATTACTGCTTGCATTAATGAGATATACTTAAAATATTTGTATTGGTATAATAATATCTGGGTATATATAATCTTATATCAACAAAAGCTATACATTTTAAATCAAAATGAATTTCATCTTCCATATTGTTTAAGTTACAGAAAGTGCATTTTCGTTCATCACGTAGATTATTGTAATGACGGCCTACTTCAATGTTAATTTTATGAGAAGATATGAGTAATTTAGCCAGTGCGTTTCTAAAAAAAAATCTAATAGACTGATACAATTCGACTGCTCAAAAGTACTTTTTTATGTCCTGGAAAATATTTAAAGAACTTGGCTTCTGTAGCCTCATTCTCCAATTACTTATGTATATACAAATGTATCTCTAAAATAGATAAATACAGAATCCCTAAAGAAAGACCAACACGGCAAAATTAAAAATGTTGCAGGCTCGGTTTGATTGAGCCTGTTCATGGACGGTACTGGAAAGTGCAAGTTACCGTCCACGCCCCCTAGCACCGGCTTAAGCAGAATTCAACATTTAAACATGAAATAGTAAACTTTTGAATTTAGAAACATCCGCAGATGTGTTCATACGGCGGTTATCATGGAACCTTCAATGTGACACTTCCGTGCCATTCCAGGAAGCGGCGTATGGTCCCCAAGTAATAAAAAGCGTGTGCCCTAAACGAGAAAACAATGGGCGGAACTAAATAAAATGGAATTTTGATAGGGGATCAGAGGTTATGAAGCCTGCATATCACAGATAAGACGTCAAAAGACAAATTTAAAAAGCAGGCAACATATCCTAAGGATGATTCAACATTATTCAAGTAGGAATATTGGAACCACCCAACTAGAAAATGCCGAAAAGTTGAAACCTACAACATAAGACTGGAACAAACACATGTATTTTTACGGATTCGGGATATAACCAGAGTCCATTTAGTCCTGAAGTCTAAAGGATATATATGAGACCCATTTTTATTGATCCGTTTAGTTCCTGACATTTTATTAAAGAAGGACAGGTCAAAGTATTGTTTGCATTATTACTGTGGTAATAAATTCATACACAATCCGTGAATTTCATTTCAGGAAACAACAATTGAGTTTCAGCAAGAATCGGTTCAACCAGGAGATAGTGCACGAATAAACTTAAAGTCAAAGTCTAGATCTACATTTTATATCCTTGCTGTAGACAGGAGTATCCTTCTCTTGGACAAGGGAAATGACATAACCGAGGTTAATCTATCATTCATATAATTCAGACATTTTAACTTAAAACAGGACCACTTGTATACACAAATCATTGTTTCAAAGAACGTTAAATGCCATAAAGCATTTCCTTTGATTTTTGTTTGCTTATGTAAATATTTTAATCATTATATATTTTGTTACTATTTGTATTCATGTATAAAAGTAAAGTGCTCTAATTGTGACATTATTTTATCTATGATAATTCAAAATACATGTAAGTTAAAATCGAGAAAATGTCATTTCAGGCAATGCTTCCAGATCTATATAAAAGTCCAATTACAGATTCCTCAAGTAGTGGATCAACTTATTGGACATTTGCTGTAAGAAGATTTTCAAAACATTTGAGTTATCGTGAAGAATAAAAGTTATAATACAGAAAAAACTCTCCCTTTCGACCGGAAATATTCGGTTAATAACGTCTGCTGGCTGGCTGTCATTGTAATTTGTGTGATTCATGTTTATATATGTTTATTTTGTCGGCAATTTTACCCTTATTTTTGAAATTTTGAATATATTATATTCGTAAATACGCGAAGCCTAAATTTCATTAGACAGACTACCAATGCCACAACACTGTGTTAACTGAAATCTTAAGCATCTGTTTGTACATAAAAACTTTTGATATGCATAATTTTTTTGTGTGTGTAGTCCTGACATACAAGTGCATGCTATCTAGACTCTTGTGCAATGTTTTAGTCACAATTTCAAAGATGTGTGCCTCCAATCCATGTAACACATTATATTACCAAAACATTCCAAAGATTACAGGTCACGATGTGAACTGTCCATTACATCTTTAAAAGATTTAACAAATTAACAAATTCTATCTATTGAAATCATATTTAGTAATATTGTAATGCCTAATAAAGAGGTTATTTAATAATACAAATGAATATACTGGCCAAATTTAACGCACAAATAAAGCCTATAAATTAAAGCATGTTTAATAAACATATACCGGTAAATATCGCCATTGAGAAAAGGAATTTTATTGGATGGCTGAACAAGTAAACCATGCGGACGAATGTAACAGTTGCCTATAATATTTTTGGCCGACGGGTCTTATAATCGTAACTTGACTAATAACTTATTAGGGGAGAGGTGATTAAAGTGTTTGCCTCTCAGGGATCATGGGTTCGTGCCCAAGGGTCACGACCATGTTTCTTCATATTACACCAGTACTGGTTGGTTCTAAGAAGCGAACTCGAAAGTGATTTTATAGGTTAAAAGAACTTGTTTCGCAATCGGGCTTAAATCCAATGACTTATAAGTGAAAGCGTGGTCGCCCGATAATTTTAGATAAGGTTAGAAAACTGCGAAGAGTTGCAACACCTATAAAACAATACCAGAGTAGATCCGTGGCCGTCGTTGACTTCAGACCACTTCTTATACATACAAATAAAATCAGCTGGTTATATGATTCTTAGCAGCAATTATCATATATACAAATATAATCAACTGATTATATTTGTGTGTATTATAAATGCTGCTGAAGAAGGTCAAAAGCTACGGCAATTTTAAATTTGCGTTTTTTTTTAAATTATATTTTGTATATACTTGACAGTATTTTTCAACTTTTATCTGTTTTTCAGCACAGTCATGTCAAGTCAAGTCTAAAATTAATCATATTTTAAACATTAGACATACCCGGTATATTATTAAGAAACACACAATTTTTATTTTGTTAACATGCCGTCGGACCTTTGTGTTTACCCAAGTTTCAACTTTTTCTTGGAATAAAAGTCTCGTATATTAAACCATCTTCACCATGTGTAAATTACTTTCTGACACTGGTTCATTCGAAGTTGAAACGTATTAAAGAAAAAACTGCTTGAATTTTGTTTAAGTAATTATTTTAATCTCAGTCAACCTTTAAACCCGTTTTCAATAAAGTACAATGTATATGTTATTTGTAAAAATTATTGTTATTAGTTACATGGTGTTTTGTGATTTTTCATTTCAGAGTGGTGGTTTATCCCTGAAATATTTTCGAATTAAAGATCCCTACTCAACATCTACTTCAACATATTATTGTAAGTACAACGTATACAACAACGTATGTATACAACAACGTATACAACCATTTAGTATTACTAAACTATTTTAAAAAAATGCAAGCTGATTAAAAAACGGTAATGAATCAATAATCAATTATTAATATATTTTTAATTTGCATTGATTCTTTGTTTTGCAGCATTTTCATAATTTCTTTGAATGTTTTTGTTATGTACGGTGACATCCTGTCTTCCATAGACTTGCTAAAGTCACTGGACGTCCTGAGTATTCGAACTGCAATCTTTACATTTTGTAAATATCGTTAATAGCTTGGGAAGGTCATTTCCATCGTAGCTTCATTTTAAAGTAGAAAAACTTCCACTTACATTTAAGCCCTCTGAACATGAATGATGTTTCATAATCCGTGTAGTATATTTAATGATTTTCTATGTTTAAAGAAAGTGATAGTTAGCACTCATTTAGTTGTTAAAAAAATCTGGAAAAAAGGATTCCTCGGCAGCACATTTTGAGCGACATGCGATCATTAAGATTAATCATGTTTTTTAACATCTCAAATCAACAGTTTCAAGTGTTGCTGCAAATACTTACTTTTACGAAACATGTACACTTGTCATTTTATGAACGCCTTTTGTATATTGGCTACATTCTTACATCACAGCTACAGACTAAGAGACATCGGTTATTAACCGCTTTTTTGAGAGCAACACCGTTTTTTTTACAAGCATAAAATACATTGCGTTTAGAGATGAAGGACGGGTACACGTACCATTTGTACAATGGTAACTTACCATCGTTGTTCAGCTTGCACTCACTCAGCGATAATTAAAATAGACAGAAGCATTATTTAAAGACCGATATTGGATCTCTTTTCTTTAGAAATTACACATTTTTATACAGCCCTAAACTATTATTCATAAAAGTAAGACCTTAAGATATTATATTTCAAATATTTATCACTACAGAAGAATTATTCGAAGCACTTTATTTAATAGTTTTATCCCTCCGATTAGATTTTTTAAGGTAACAAATAACACAGTATATAAACGATTTTAACCCCAACCGGATCTTGTGAGAAGATGTCAGTGTCAGCCATTTTCTGACGCTTAACTTGTTTAATATATTGGTACTTATAATGATACTTATGGACGTTAGGTTAGAAAATCTATTTTTATATTGTAGAAGAGAAACTTTATTAAGCGTTTAAGTTATGCAAAATATAAATGTTAGCATTAAAGCTATAAAATAATCGAAACTCACGAACTGCTTTCAGATGATCAACACTGAACACTAGCAAAAATCCGTCTTATTTCAAGGTTTATTTAGTTAAACATTGAATTGTGATATCGAACTACTAAAATAATCCATAACAAACGATAATTTAGTCATCTGCAAAAACTATTGCTGTATTTTGAACATGAAATTAAGAGTTTAACCGAGGAGAATTCCGTAAACTGAACGTTACTTGCTGGTGATTGTGAACCCTACTTGTGAGTTTACGAGTTTTATCTGTACCCTGACTTGTGAGTATTTTTAAAGATTTAATGGAGAGAACGTTAATTATTTAACGTATTTATTTGTTTATTGACAGGCAAAATGGAAGAATTCAGTTGTCTTCATTGCCCCCTTGCTCTTAAAAAAAATCGGAAACATTATTGTTCATAATTTGGACATCAGAACAAAAACTTAAAACAATTTCTCAGCTTGACAACAATAACAGAAACATTAAAATCCTACTCAAAAGACTTTAGAATTATTCC